CGCCGACGCCGCGAATGCCGGCGCGTCGTCGCCCTCGGCAGCATCGCCGGGCGCCCAGGTGCGCCGCGACCGGCGGCGCCGCGCGCGCCGCTTCTTCGCCGACGGCGGGCTCGCGGAAGTCGCCGCGGCCGCCGCGGCCGCCTCGAGCGCCGCGACGCGCGCGCGCTCCTCCGCGAGCGCCGCGGACTTGGCCGCGACGGCGCGCGCGAGCTGCACGTTCTCCCGCTCGAGCCGCGCGGCCAGCGCCCGCAGCTGGTCGTCGTCGCGGGGCCGCGGCCGCGGCCGCGGCGCGCGCAGCGCGACGCGGTTCGCGCGCTGGCCGAACTGCAGCGTCGTCCGCGTCTCCTCGAGGCACGCCGTGCCCGGCGCGACGCAGCAGACGAGCGCGAGCTTCGCGCCGCCGCTCAGCGTCGGCTGCAGCAGGCGCGTGAGCTTGGAGTTGCGGAAGCTCGGCGCGCGCTCGCCGTCGCCGAGCTGCTTGAGCACGTGCGACAGCGTCGTCAGCGACTTGTTGATCATGACGCCCTCCGCGAAGTTCGCGCGCTGGCTCCGGCTCGGGTGCTCGGCCCGGGACCGCCGGGGCTTCTCCGACCCGGCGAGGTCCACGAGGCTGAGCGTGGCCGAGAACACGACGCCGCGGACGTCCGTCGCCACGTGGAGTTGGAGCACCGCGTGGCTCCGCGAGCTCCGCGAGTTCATGCGCGTCTTGCCGATGCGCCGCCGCTTTTCGCCGCGCTTCAGCAGCGCGTCGAGCTCGTTGGGGTCGCGGATGACGACGCGGTGCGCGCCGGCGACGTAGACGCCCCGGTGCTTCTCCTCGCGGAGCGCGACGGCCGACTCGGGGTTCAGCAGGTCGCGCACGGCCTCGTTGTAGACCTCGAGGTAGACGCAGGACACCGTCGTCTCGCCCTCGGCCTCGAAGATCTGCTCGCACGCGAGGCGCATGAAGCCCTGCATCGTGTGCGTCTTGCCCGACGCCGTCTGGCCGTACGCGAGGAGCGTGCCGCTCCGGCCGCAGACGAGGTCGCCGACGATGGACCGGCAGGCGTGGTCGTAGACCTCCGTCGTGTGCGCGTCGGCGTCACAGACGTGGTCGAAGCGGTAGCGCTCGCCCGCGCCCTTGCCCGCGAGCTGCACGAGCTCGTCCTCGGCCGCGCGCCAGGCCAAATCGCCGTCCGCGCCGCCCGCGGGCCGCAGGCGCACGCAGACCGTCACCGGCGTCGGCGCCTGCGCGTCGTCGTCGTCGG